AGAGGAAAACTGCAGCGTGGAGGAGCTGCCTGGAAAAGTAATTTATTTGGCAGCTCCCACAGGAAGTCGCCAACTCCTGTTTGAGCCAAGTCAGTCAGCCACATCCGGCGCAACTTTAAGCCGCATTTCCGTTCATGCAATTTTAATTTGTCAAATGCAAGCGACGCGATGAGAACGTGGTGGATGCTAAAATTAACTGGAAAATTTTACAATCCTGGCGCGGCGAGGCGAGGCAGGATTACAGAACAGAACAGAACAGGACATGGCACAGGGCACCAAGCAGCAGGCAGCAGGCAGCAGGAGTCAAAGGCAGTCCGCTGCCGAAATGAGGATACCGACGAGCCACTCGAATTGGACCATTAGTTTCGACGGCATTAGTTTGGCGCTTTTCATGGCCCAGACGATGCAGACGAATAAATAAGAGACGAGCAGCGGGACGCAGATGGAGATGGAAATATACTAGATGTGGAAATGGAAGTGGAGGTGGTGGTGCCGGAGTTCCAGAGTTCCCACACAAGGGCAAGTGGACCGAGGCGGACCAGCGACGATCCCCTGGCGGAATTATGCATGTAATAAAATGCGGCGGCATTGGCTGCAACTGCAACAACCCGTGCCCGGCCACGCCCACACACGCCCACTTTCGCCGCGAACTAAATTTAAGTGCATTAACATAAAGCGGTTAAACTACGGTGGTATGATTCATGAAAATATTTTAAAACAGAAAATTAGTCATGAAAAAAAGGTAATACTTTAAATTTTAAATATGTTTATAAGGAAAGTTTTTTTAGATTTTAAATTTTTAGAAAATTTAGTAATTAAATTTCAAAATGAACAAAAATGAATGTACAGCTATTCATTCTAGTATTCTCCTTGTTTAATATATCAGAAACAATTTTGAAGTGGTCATAATATATATGTTAAATACATTACATTAGATCTATTAATTGCAAGAATCTATAAGTTTTAAACCGCATTCCCCCATCCCACTGTGCATGTTAGCAAGGACAAGATAAATAAACTTTTGTGTGAAACTGTTTTAAGGGGTTGAGGTCTCCTAAAAAGAAGAAAAGGGGAGCTCCCGCTGCACTGATGAGTGCAACGACTTGGCAGCAGCGCTAAGCGTCAGCATCATCGACACTTTTGGCAGGAAGCGTTCGCGGGCCGGGCTCAGACATATAGTTTATATAGTGTACGCAGTACAGGACATGGCCAGGAAACTCGTCTGGCAGCGAGTCTCCGGAGTGTGTGAGACATTAACAGACTCGTAAACTGCCAGTTGCTTGTTATGTTGATTACACAACCAGCGTGAGCGTGGGAGCAAATGAAAATAAAGTTACCAAGCCAAACTTGCACTTGAAATCCACGAATTCTAAGTTGAGTTCAAAACTATATTTGTTCGAGTAATAAATAAGTAGTTGGTGGTATGTCATAAAATATTTAAAATTAAAGATCTTTTAAAATTATTATTTTATATAGTGAAACCTAAAATATTTTTGTAAACTGGAAAACAAATCTTAATTCATTGCTTTAAATTCAAACAGAATGTAAAGTGTTATCTTTTCACAGCCAAGGACTGTTGCCATTTTATTGGAAAGCGTTTTAAAGTCACCTCGCGTAGGCCATTGCTGAAAAGTATGCAACACTTGGCGCCACGCCCCATTTGTACGTGCCTGTCACGCCCCGTTTTAACCCACAACACCACCCAAAACAACAGTTAGCTGCCCTTTCGGAAAAGCTGAAAAGGAAACACACATACTCACACTCACAGAGCGAGAAGGAGGAAACTTAAACAGAAACAAACAGCGGGAAACTGAAAACTAGCTAGTGGCAAGAGTTGAAAGTTGAATGTCTGGCAAATGCCGCGGCAATGCCCTTCGAATGCAGTCAGTGCAAAATGCATTTTCCAAAGGGGAACTTTTCACACGCAGCGCCAAATCTGCCAAAGCCACTTTTCGGTATTGTTTTTTGTTGCTTTTCGAAATTTATTGCAACACTCGCTGTGCAGAAGCTCCTGTACTCCCAACTCCCAAAAATAGCAAAAAGATGCTGGCTTTATCTCTTCGCTGTCTGTCTGTCTGTCTGTCTGTCTGTCAGAGGATATTTATCTGGCACGTTAAGTTTACTTTTGCCCCCCTTCAATCCACTGCCACATTGCACCCCGCTCTTTTCATAATTTTTCGCCTCGCGGCTAAATTGTCGTCTTTATTTGCAGCATGGAAATGCTCGAACGCAATTTCCCATTTCCATTTCCATTCCACTACACACCCGAATGGTAAACGCTACCCGATGCGAGATTTTCCCGCATGACATTTGCGATTTTCCGCACATTTTGTACTTTATTGAACTGTTTGTCACATGACGTTTAGTATTTTGCGAGCTGCGTCAGCTGCAGGCGAACAACCACACTTGTGCATATGCACAGAATGGAAACGGGGAAAACCAGCCAAGAATTAGGGTCTCACACGAAGTACTGATGTACTTCTATAACTTGAATTTTTCTATATATTTAACTAGAGTCCAGTTGCTAAACAACAAGATAATAACTTGCAAACTTAAAGATAAAAATGTTATAGATCAAAGTTCGTTATGAATTTAATAATAGAATAAATTTATTTTTGTTTGAAAATACCAAATAGTTTAAGAATTTAAAACCTAAATTCTTTTGGGAAAACTTGCAATAACTTTGTTCAAACTTTAACCCACTACCTAATATATAGTTATTCAAATTCTTTGGATGAATGCCAAATTGTTTTTGAAAATTTCACTGTATCTCAGCCGATCATCGTCATCATCAAATTTTCTTAGAACAAAAGGGTTGGGAAAATAAAGCTTTTAAGGGAGAAACCACCAGCTGACCCCCTTATTACAAAGCCATGTAAACTTGATGAAAATCAAATGGAAATAAAAATGGACAGCACTCATAAACAATAATATGGCGAGAGCGCAAGCTTTCAAAAGGAAACTTTGAGCGAAAAAGAAAGAAAACTTCAACCGAGCAGTGGAAGCAACTTAATAAAAACAAAAATGTATGAAATACTTTTACGACTTTCGAAGACATTTTTACAACTTGCTGGCAAGTTTTGCTAACGATATGCGAGATGCACACAGTGAGACTTTGGAGAACAAGAAGAGCTCCGGATCGGCAGCTGCATCCAAGGACTGCTGCCGCGTCCTGTCCTGGTCAAATGGATACGTCGCATCATAAAACCGAAAGTCATTTCGCACAGAACGTGTCTAAACGAAAGACCGGAGGACGGGCCAATGTCCGGCCAAGAAGCCAAAGTCATCGCAGCCAATAATAATTCCAATTGTAGTGCAGTGACAATTTTCTGTTCCTTGGCTGCAAGGATGCGCTCTTTTGGGCACTTTTGGGTACAATGTACCCCGAACAATGGTCAGCAGAGGAGCAGCAGAGGAGCACCAGAGGAGCAGCGGCGGCGGCAACGCGCACATTTTATTGCCCAGCGTTGGCATTTTAAGTGCACCAGCCAGCAAGCGGAGCAGCAGCATCGGCAGTGGCAACATTATTTGGTCAATGTAGACGACATGACGCGGCCATTAAGAGCAACAAATAAGCAAACAATAACAAGAAGCCGCGCCCCGATGAGCTGGAGAGAAATTAAGAAAAATGCTTAAGCTGGCTGCGAATGGGAAACACTTCCTTCTCACACTTTGAAATCACTGCACGGCGAAAAAAAAAATCAAACTAATGATTCATTTTAAATCTCCTACATCAGAAAGCATGACTATTATCACGAAAAACTGGTCACCGAAATATAAAATAATAGAATGAATTTGTGTTAATAAGGAAAACGATATTGTTTGGTTAAGATTAAGGCCTAAATTGCACTTATTAAATGAATATATGTATAGTTTAGGATAGTGTGACATGACATTATTTAATTTATCAAAATGATCAAGACTAAATTATCAAATTAACCACAGCCAAATGATACTATCTAGTGGATAGATTTGCTATGAGTATGACAGCACCTATCTTAATACCATCAGCATGAGAATTATTATTGCTAAACATATTATTTTTCCTTTCACTATGTTATTATGATCTAATATGATATTACAATTTTATTTCGTTGCATTCAAATGAACAATAAAATCTCTATCATTAACTCCTAGTGCTAATGTAAGCCTACTCTTATTTTTTTTTTATTACGAAACCTGATTAGAAAAATGAAGATAATAGTAAAAACCTATTTTGTTTAGTTTTTTCATGGGCAGAACCATTTATCTTTCGATCGATTTGGATATCTCTGTTCGATAATAATACTTTGGCTTATTAAAATTGATTGCAAATGAGCTGGTGGCTTTGGGGCGTCTTCGAATGCTAAGCAAGATGGGTGGGAATGATTCCCTTGGGGCCATGCTAATGGGTCAGCAATAAGGCATAGCTGGTTTATATAGATTTACTGAATCAGGCAAAACAAAATGTCATGATAGATAAAAACAAACGCGAAAACATAATTGAATCAACAGAAAACTTGTTGAAAGCAAAATGTAGAGATATGAAAGGGATAGATACGGTATGAACAGAGATTTCAGCTGTCTCGCTGTCTGACCAATTCGTTTAGTTTCGCAAAAGCTAATTAGCAACTAAAGTGAAATTAAAGCAGAGCCAAGTCAAGCCAACGACTAATGGTCTTTGTGTCGGAGAAAAGGGAAATAGGAGGGTCCGAACCAGAGGAAGGTGCTACAACTAATTAAATGCAATAAGCTATGGCAACTGCTGGACGTGAACAGGAACTGTGGGTTTCAGGAGTCAGGATACAGGACAGGTAACGCCGGTGGACGAGTGACAACTTCGTTTTGATGTGCCGGACTCTTCCGGCATCCTTCCTGTCCCCTGTTCCCATTTTTTCCTCCCGCCAACTAACGACGAACGCGTTTTAATTTGCACATTAAAGTAATTAGTTTAGCATTAGTTAGCTGCAGTTTGTTTTAATGAGTCGCGAATTTTGAGAGAGTTGGTCGTCGCCACTTACCGCTCTTAAAGGTGGCCATCAGGTGCTCTGAATCAGCTCCATGCTGGCAGACAAACAGCGAAGTGTCGAGCAGATCTCTGGGCGAATATCCCAAGAGGCCATGCATCCTAAAAAATCAAAATTTACATAATTATAAACAAAATTAATGATGGAATAAGTACAGTCGTGATCCAATTTTGTTAAAAATTTAAATCTTCACATTACTTAAATAGAAAGAAGAATTATTTAAAATCAATTCATTGTTTCTAAGCTTGGTTTCGACCAGACAGAAAAATAATGGTCTGTTTATTTTTAATTTAAAATATTGAAGTATTTAATTGCCACAACAAAATTGATGATCTATTAACAAAGATCACTTAAAAGCATTTTTATAGTATATTATACTTTTTACAAAAGATAATTGTTCAATTGCATCAACAAAAAACGAATGATTTATTAAACAAACGACATTCATTGCCCGCTTCTGGCAAAGCTATAATTCAATCACAAGGCCTTTGTGAGTAAGGCCATATTTAGTATTTCTATAAATTTTCTGTATTTTCTAGTGAGTTAAAATGGGTTCACGACTGGTAATATTTATCTCACTTGTCGTCCACGTAGGTGAAACGCATGTCCAGGGAGTGTTTTGTAAGGAAAGTGCTGGTGCCCAACGGTATCTCAATATTCGAGGGATGCGGAATGGGTCGACCAATGGCCATCAACAGGCGCTCGCCCTTGGCATTGACCACCAAGTGTCCTGTGATGTGAATGACCTAGAAACACATCAAAGGCATAGATTAGTTATGAATCGATTAAAACTACGTTTCAGTTATATAAGTTACTGTACTGGAAATGGTAATGTTAGATTTCTAGTCAATGGTTAACAGGCAAAAAAAATGCACTCTATTTAACATAAAATAAGTAGATCTTTGATATTGGAATTCAGATATTTTTTTGACTCTGTAGACTTTGCTATATCTGACCTTGTAGGAGGCGCTCTTGATGTTGATGCTTCTCCCACGACTGGTTAAGGTGCACTTCAAACGCACAAACAGGTCCCGGTGATGAGTGCTCATTACGGAGTCCTGCTGCGGTTCATCCTTGATCTTCTCGGCAATTTCGCGCTTGAGACTGAGAGCCTCCTTGATCTCGGCGTGGTCGCACTGGTGCGAGTACTCCCAGATTTGCTGGCCCAGAGTGTCAATCTGTAGAAATTTAACAAACCAATTAGAATAGTTTTCTAAAAAACAATTAGAAACACTTACCTTGGTAATGCCCAGATACTCGACTACATTCTCGGATACATAGGTGATGTCACCCTCGTGGGACAGGACCAGCAGGAATCCGTCCATGGTCTGTTTCAAGAGCTCTCTGCCCTCGGGACCCTTTAACCAATCCTCGTTACCCATTTCCACCTTGGGCTTGATCTCCGCCTGCTCAGCAACAGCATCCATGTCTGGTTTAATGGCATCGCTGGGAACTGAAATAAATCATATGTTAAAAAGGGTTTAAAAAAGAAAATATCTTAAAGGGAAACTCACCAAACTGCAGCATCTCACGAATCTTGAGAAATGCAATAGTGATCCTCATCACGGATGCCTTGTCAAGTTGATTGACATCGTCGGTTTTCAATGGTAAAGCCGCCGAGAGTTCCATGAAAATCTCCGTCTCCTTGGAGCGACGACATCTGGCCGCATCGCGAGACTTCTCCTTGCGCTTTTCATTGTTCCTGCAAAGATCGATGAGATGAAAAATTAGCATAAGCTCAATGCAATCACGTACGCCACTGATCTGGGGGAACGCGGGGGAACATAGAGGGGAAGGTCGTCTGAAATATGCGTGCATTTCAATTGCTGCACTTTTATTCCCGTTTGATTGCTTATGATTCAATTCACGCGGCCAGAGCTCGCAATTTTTCAATTAAGCAAAACGTTTTCAGTTTTTGCGTTTGTTGCCAGGCCAAGCGAAAAAAAGGCGAAGGCGTTCGACAGCGCTATTATAGCTGGCTACCTATATTACAAAAATGTATAACAACTCTCTTTGGACTCAATACAATTCTTAACGCTCCCAACATATTAATAATATAAATGCAATATTATGTAGAACAATAAATCAACTTTAATATGGTTAATAACTAATGTTCCTTAGAAGCATATAAATATTATACGAACAACTCAGCTAGATTTTTATTCAACATACAGCATTTTTAGAATATGAATAAGAAAATGGTTTGTAATGTTCCTTCACAATTTAAAATTCACAGAATTGAGTTATAATTATTAATCTAATAATTATGTTGAACAAAAAAATAAAATAAACAGGCAAATATTTATACAAATATTATGGAGAACAATAAATCTTCTTCAAACTAAAACAGGCTAATGTTCTTGAAGAAAATATAAATATAATTTATTCAAAACGTTGTATTATAAAGTATAATTATGAAAAATTATTGCGAAATATTACAAATAATATCACATAAGAAACAAAACAATAAAATTCAATACAAGAAATAGAATTTTATGCTGCCAATGCTGATACGAAATTTCTATAGAATTCTGTTCTAAAACTAATATTAAAGTAAATCATTGTCTATTTGTATTGCCTGAAGAATCCTGACCTACAACGGCGCCCCCTTGGGAGAGTTGTACATTCCCAGCTGGCAGCCGAACCCCGTGGGCTTTAGATGGTTTACAATGTCTGTTTCGGATTCCCAAAGTAGCCAGCAGTCACACGTTCGCCTGATAAAGACCATCACTTCTGCCTTGGCACCAATTCCCTGGTGGTGGAATTTTGAAGACTTTGGAATATTTTGCCGAAACTTCTCACCTGCCCGATGCGTTGGCAATTAGCGAATCAGCAGAACTGTCTTCGATGGGGTGAGTGAGTCCCATTTAAACCAGGGGTTTCTGCTCGTCGATACTGGCGACAAGTTTTAATCGGCCGACAAGCCAGTCCACATCATTCAAATATATTTATAAGGGAGAGCACTGACCCCAAACATACGAACACTATCAGTACTATCACTATTTATATATATATTGGAAAATTCTAAGAAAAGACGAATGGCCCTCCCTCGGGACTGGGGGAAAATTATAAAAAGTTTGCCAAGAAAACCTCGTGAGGCACCGCATGCAAAGAAACTAATTCGGGAATTCATCAACGACGACAACATAGCTCGTGCCTTCTTAATATTTTATTTATTATTGGTATACAGGGCGAACTTGTATAATCCATGGAAGACGTCTGTTTTCGCACGTACAATAGTTGTCTTGGCCTTTGGCAAAAATTGCCAACGCTGCTTTATTCACTCTTTGCCTCTGGAAAGGAAAAAAGGCTGCCAACGTAAGGTGTTTTATTGTGAAAACCGCCTTGGCAACACAACAAAATTAAAAACTTTTCTGTTCACAAGCCTTAAGTTTAACCTGTCACCGAAAATGAAGAAAGCCCCATCATATCAGTTGCCAACGACAATGGAATCTGAACTCTTCACTATGATGGATATTTCAGTCTACAAACTGACTAATAAATGATTAAAAAAGCATTCCACTTTGTTTGGTTTTTGGCGAACTAGAACTAAATATTCGAAATGCAAACAAGAAACTTATAAGTTACAGTTAATTATTAAAATTAATTTTTAATTATGACATCTTTAAACATGAGATAAGAACCTTATTAATCGATCGATTGTAAACAAGGAAATCTAAAAATAAACAACACAAGGTTTGCAATCTCTTAAATAAAATACAATGGTTAATCATTTAAAATCCTTATAACTTCACATAGTTGAAATAAATAAGTAAAGATAAGAGTGATTTTCATTGTCAATCAATCGACTGATTGATGGAGACCAGGCAAAAGATTGGAGCAGAACTCAAACTTATATAATTAATTTATAGAATTATTTTACTCTGTATCAAAGTGCACACTATTGCAATAAGCAAGCACATTGAATATATTTGTCGATGTCAATATACTCATGGGTTTCTATCTATATATATATATATATATTAATGAACAGAAATCCGATAGTCGTAGTGCATAGAAAGCGGCATAGAATGGCTTTGAATTGCATGCTAATGGCCTGCTTAAATGGAGTGATATTCAGGGGGTTTTTGAGGGTGAGGTATTTGCGATCGGGCGGCCCATTGTCTGTTCATTAGAACAGAAGCAAGTACAGCCTTTTAAATATTCTGGCTGTGCCAGCAGAATTGCCTTGTTATTGCCGCTGTCGCTGCCGCTGTTGTTGCTAAGTATTTCCGCTCCAAGGCGCAACTCAAACACTGCCAAAAAAAAACTGTATTATAAAATTAATATACTTTTCAGTTAAAATAAAATGATTTAAATTAAAAGCAACTCAACAGGTATTAGGCCAAAACAGTGAAAAACACTTTTAAAGGGGATCTTTGCGGTAATCTTGATGATTCATTAATTTTAAAATTGATTGGAAATAATAAAAAGAGATTACTTTAGTTTATTTAAGAAGCTAATTTAAAAAATGTCCCTTATAAAACGCAAGAACTAAAAAATGTATTTAAAAAAAAAATTGGCTAGGCTTTGATGAGATTAAAATTGTTTTTATAGAAATATGGTATCACGTGGACAGCTAAATCTTAGCTAATCCTATGAAACCCTAGGGTACTGACCCGCATCTGTTTGAGTCTGAATTGTCGGCATTTCGAAATGATCCACCAAATGCGTCGTATCTCTTGGCGAGATATCAGCAAAGGCTCATAAAATACATCTCAAGGTGTTAATGCCAGTTCATGGGGCAGTAAATCGAGCCAACATCGGGTCAGGGATGTTCGGTTGGGAGCAGCATAAAGTTGGAGGGAGTTTTTTGGGTAGCGTGTGCCATTTGCAAGTGCGTCAGTTTGTCTTTGTCTTATTAGCATGGAGATGGGCAAACACAAATTTGGCTTAAACGTGTGCAAAACGTAAATAAACGAGCAAACTGGCGACCATTCCAAATCCATTTGATTTCCGCGCACGTTGCATGCTAAGTTTTTGGAAGAAATCCAGGGAAAACGCGGGCCATAACCTGCGTCAATCGCTGAGGAATCGTCGATCAACAGTATTGATGAGCCCCCAGCCAGAAGACCTACCAAACACGCACCACGTGTCGATAAATCTTTGGGAAATACCCAACCTAAAGTCACTGTTGCCAGAAAACAATTACAAAACTTAACTTCCAGAAACTATTTTTAAAATTTTAAGAGAGGGAACGTCTTTCTTAGTCCACTTAAGCTGAGGAAAATAGGGCATTTTTCTAGGGAGAAACCCAATGAAACCTTGACTCATTCATTACTTTTCTCGCGCAATATCTCCGTCCGCGTCACCCTATCTTTTCCTTGCGTATCTAAATATTATTATAAAAAGCGATCCACAAATAAGCATAGATAAGAGACCCGCCGTTTGCTTTCGGCTTTGGCATTTAAAATAGGATCCAACGAATTTTTAAATGAGTTTTTCGGCGGTCAAAGCAAAAGTTAGAAGCGATTTTAACTTTTTTTATATTTGTTTATTAAGATGACCTCTGTTCGCAGTTGTGTGACTAAGAATGCTTAGAAAATATAGTAAACAATACAAAATTGTGTTATTTAACAAGACTATTATAAATTAAACTAAATCCTCAATATTAATTATGCCTAACCAAATTTTGAATTTTAACTATCGGATTCGTATTAGATACTACTTTTTTATATGAAGTTTATAAATGATACTTTTTGAAAGCAACTTTCTGATTTGTTTTTTATTCAATTTTTCAGCCCAAAAAATGTCTTCACTTAATACGTTTGAAAATTATTTTGTGTTTTTTTTTAAGTGATAAGATTTTTGTTTTCGGTCGCACTTTCATATACATTTCATACTGTTTAGTTTTTTTGTTATAGTTTATATAGTCGATTTCCCCACGATATCTGGTTGCACTCACATAAAGTCCTCGATGTCCACGAACTGGGAGAACTGACAGGGTTGGGTGTTGGTGGGAGCATAGCCATAGCAGTAGGCGTAACTCCAGGGGCGACTTTCGCGACAGGGCGTGGCCACGCTTAGAAGAGTGCCCCGTTGCCGATAGAAGGCATCCGGATGCGGTTGCTGCTGATACGGATGATACCTCTGCATCGCGGCGGAGGATGGATTGGGTCCCAGAATGGCACCCACGTAGGGTTGGCCACTGGGAACTGGGACATTGTAGAATGACCCGTTGTTAAAGCTCACGGTGGGTTCATTAATGGGCGTTCGCCCGAAAACCGAGCCATTATTCAACTGTTGTTGCTGCGCCTTTAGATCGCAATCATAGAAACTTGTACAAGAAGTCACATCCTCGCCGTAGAAGGAACTATCGCCGGGACACGAGAAGTCGCAGCTCTCAAAGGTATTAAACATTGATTGCGCCGTTTCTTTCGCTGGAATATGGACAAGCCCATCGATGATGAACAAACACACGCGTCCCGATAACAGCTGATAGTGGCGAGCGGGCTTAAGACTATTTTTTTGATTTGGCTATAACTTTACGGCCGTATTCAGAACACGACGTACCGGAGTTTGAACCGTAAATGAGCGAAAGGTTCCATACCCTCGAAGCCATCATATTTATACCCGTGAATCCGAAAAAACTGGCCAGGAGAGTGAGTGAGAGAGCAGCAGACATTAACGTCAGATTCCGTGTGCTATCAGACAAGTTTGCCTATCCGGACAAGTGCGCTCCGGCCGGAGTGATAAGATAAAGGCCGCCCGCTTCGAAAACATTCAGTTGGCAGGGAGCTAACGGTTCGGTTTTGCCCAATCGGGGCGATAACGGTGGACTCAAGTGAGTGGCAGACTCAAATTAGAGGCATATAAATAATGTCGGTGCGCTCCACTTCAGCCGATAATTGCACCGGATAATGAAGCATACTTTGCAGCGCCCACGGAAATTTACTGCACGTCCTGGATCAAGTTGGTTGCCCATTCCACTGACTCACCAACTGCAGTACTCGAAGCTGTCATGTTATTTATTAAATAAACGTATACCAAGGAAATTAAATTCCCATTACAACCCAATGAAAATGAAGAATCTATAATAAAATATGTCATTTCGAAATTGAAAGCTAAGTTGTAGGACTTGGAACTGCAGCTAAATGCGTACAGCAAAGCCACTATTTCCAAGTTTTATAAAGTTTGAGCAAAAAAAAACCCAAACACAATTTATTTGAAAAAGGTTAAATGTCAGTTAGAACTTGGCATATTTTTTCTCTGTGCTGAAAAACAGATTTAGATGACTAAATATTTTTCCACCTATCTTACCCTTCTCAAAGATTTTACTAGTCGGCCGAGCTCGCTGATAAGAGCAATAGCATAACAGTTAAATATTTAGATTATATTAGCAAACAGGCGCGGAAAGTGAAACGAGATAAGAGAAGCCCGCCACCCAACTAAAAGTAATAAAACCACAATGTAATCAGCACGAAGAAACGGAGAAGAAGGCAATGCACAGTCGGGGACAAATTAAATTACCGCCCATGGGATTTGATAACCCCTTGTTTACCTTTTTATGCTACAAATGTCATTCAGATGTCTAACTAATTATTATTAACAAAAATATTTGAATAAAAGTAAAAAGCATCTTAAGTCACCAACAGTTTATTTCAATCCTGGGATGCTGCGGTGCAGTGACAATACCAAGTAAGTCGTTTTCGGCTTGATTGTTCTTGAACTGATCTTCTTCATATTTTCCTGTTGTTTTACCAACAATCTGAAGATCTACAAACACCGGAAGCCATACCTTCTGCCTTCTACAGCACCGACACACCCTACTCACCCATAGTCTGTAACTTTTGAAGCCGTTTTTCGAATTTAAACATTATACATTTTAATAATGTTTATTTGTGCCATAAATGCTTAGTTTAAAACTTGTTTCGATTAAATCTTTATTTGGGAATAACAATTAATGATTTCACAAGAAGAAAAACGTATTAATGTTTAACTATTTGCCATTATTGAAAGACAAATTTACGAGTTTGAAAATGTTTTCAAATAAAAAGAATTAAAAATGGAATGGTCATTTCAAATTATTGTTATAAATTGATAGATAGTATTAAAAAGAAAAATTGTAAAAATTGTTTAAATTTTGAAGCTACAAAAGTCTGTCACTAACCGAAGAATTCAGTTCTATGAAAAATAAGTTTTGCCAATATATATATTTCAGCAGCGCATGTGTTAAATAAAAAATAATTTAATTACAGGGAGATAAGCGCTAAGCAATCCTATAAAGAAGAATACTAAAATGTTACTTGCTTTACTCAAAAAAGTTGCTCGTATAGAACAGACGTGTTTTTGTGGTAATTTAACTTAAAAATCTCGATACTGCGAAAGGACACCAACATGGACTTCGGAACATCTTTGGTGAAATACATCCTCTTCATAGTCAACTTCATTGTGGGTTTGATCACCATTGAGTTCGTGGTCGTCCTGATACAAAACGAAGAAGATGAGAGTTATTCGGCCGTCATACCGATCGCCGTGGGAGTGATTTTGGTCTTCACCTCATTTCTTGGATGCTGCGGTGCCGCATGCAATTCTATCTGGTTGGCCAAAAATTATGCTGCAATCCTGCTAATACAGATGATCTCGCAGCTGACACTTTTAGTACTGCTGTTCAACAATAAGGAGCAATTTGAAAAATTTATTGGTTTCGGTATCGACATGGCATGGAAATGGCATGGAATTCGCTGCGGACAGGACTTTTCCGAAGACCACACTGCAGAAAAACTCACCACTCCTGCAAGCAGCCACAAAAGTTCTCCTATTTCGTCCAACTTTTATGAAAGATGTCGTGGAGAGTGGATCGACTGGGTAACTGGTACCACAAACAACCATATGTTTTTGATTATCGGCTTAATGGTTATTGAACTGGTCTTCTTCATATTTTCTTGTTGCTTTGCCAACAACCTGGGAATCTACAAGAAGCAAAAACAATTCGTGCTTCCAATTACTACACCGAAATCTACGAATGCTAACTAACTTTTAACTTTTAACAATAAGTTTTAAAGCAATTTGTTTGTGTATTTGCTTAAAACAAGTTTAGTTTAAAAGTTAACAAATTCAAATCGATTTATAATTAATAAAAAATGAGTGCTCTCAAAAAACCAGGAATAATCTTGCAACGCAGTAAAAAAGACATTTCAGACCTTTTAAGTTTTTAAATTTTTAATCGGAAATTTGTTTTTTATAAAAAATATAAATGAAAAACAACGTAGTTATATATTATTATTTTCCTATCCTTTTTTGGAAATGTTTTCTTCATTGCGTTGCAAACTTTTGAGTGATTTTATATTATCATATTCAAGTCAATTTTTTTTCAACAAACAGCGGTTTTAAAGATAATAACATTTCCCACAAATGATCTGAAAAGGTGTTCGAAAAAAACAATTCTTTGTTCTTGACAAGTAATAATGTAGGCCGGGGTGCAGCAAAATTTTACTGCACGGTATTGGTACGCCCCAATTAATTTTTGTTCGCCTTTAAAACATGTACATATTTAAGCTTTCTCTGATTTATAATTTACATCGAATGCGACGCGTATAGAGCCCATTGAACTACAAGACCAAAAAAGATTCAGAAGCTGCGCTACCTTAGTCTGTCTCCCTCACTGTTGTCTTTTCTTTCTGTCTCGATGGAACAAACTAAAAGTTACACACACAAAAAAAATTGTTTTGGGGGTTAAGTTTGGTTATATAAATAATTAAATAATTTTAAATATATTGAAAGGCAACCATCATAATTGGTTTGGTGACTGAATGTTTTTCGTTTTTAATAATGTTATATTTAATAAGAAATGTATTTGACAATGAAATGTTTTTTTTAATGAATTAACAGTTAACAAATTTTTTTCTGTGCACTAGCAGCAAAATAAAAGTGCGTATGTATGAAAATAAAGAGGAAAGCGAGAAGAAAACTAACAATAACTCCACAACCTAAAACTTAAATACAATAGCTCTCCTTCTCTTTCTCCCTTTATATTAATACCCCCTCGGACGTTTCCATCCTCCTCGTGTCGTCACATTTTGAGTTCGATTGCGCAAAAAGTAGGTCGTCGTGGCCAGACAAAAAAAACAACAACAACAACAACAAAAACAACAACTGGGCATATCATTTAAATATTTTACAATACACACATGTGGGAATGTGTGTAAGCGTGTTTTACTTTTGTGCGTTTGCTTGCGTTGGTATTGAAATTTATTTATTGTCAAGTTGTTGTTTAAGTTTTATACATCGGCTTCTGCGTATTTTTTCCTCGTTTTTATAGCGCCTTGGTCTGACAGCATATAAAACTAATTTAAAATAAAAACATAGTTTCGATTAAGATTCTTGCCTCCCCCAAATGCCCCCCACTGAACTAGTAATAATTCACTTTTATTGAGGTCACACGGTAGCTGCAGTTACAATCTGTTCAAGATCGGTCAGCTGCAATCGAAAACTTCGGTCGATACTTAAAACACTTCCACTGGACAGTCGATTAATTCGTTCGATTGACAAGAACTATTCGATCGATAACAATATGATACTTAATGGTTTAGATGTAAACAACGTAAGTCGAAAGTAAGTTAAAAAAATCCCTTATTTTAACTTAAACAATTTTTCAAAATATATATTTTTTTACAAAGATATACTTTTTAATGCAAAGCTTTCACCAACAGTGGTAACATAATTTTTACATGTCTCACAAATAATGCATTGGAACCAATTCGATGCAAATAGGAAAACTACCGACAATAGTAGGTTAGTGTGTCTATTGGAAGCTAGAGCGAGCACTTTTTGAAAATGGTTATAGGACCGCTTTTCAGCTTTTCCACATTTTTAAAAGTTAAGTTTAATGGTTGTCACGTAGGCCAAAGCGAAACTTAGTTTCAATTTAATGTAAATGTCTTGAGTGAAACATAAACTTGGGGGTTTATGGGTTTATAAAATAAAAAAAACTTAAGTTTGCAGAGGGGCGTGGGCCAAAATCACGGAATCGAAAACAAAACAAAGCTGATAAAACGAAGCACGAGGAAAAAAACAGGTTGTTTTTGGAGCGGAGGGGCAGCATTATCGAATATAACAGGTTTTCATTATTGTTTTTGATTTTTACCTCACTTAAAAATAACCCACAATGCGTAACAAAGAAGCTGAACCATGCACTCGGATAAAAATAAACTCCAGCTATTGGGGACTTGCCCTTAAAAACAGGATGCCTGTACTTGAAGGATGCATATCTAGGAAGCAACAAGTGCTTTCAAGACTCTTTTCCAAAGGAAAATTCACTTATAAGAGTGCATTTGTCTATTGTATACCCCCCAGATATATTCCACTGCGGAAACCAATCATGCATATGCAAACTGAACGATTTCAGTTCGTCTCGACTTTTGTCTTTGAATGTCTGAAGGTCGTGGGTCTCGGTCGTTGCGTTCTCCTTCTCTATCGCTCTCTCTCCGTCACAAAATCGTATAATAATTACCGCGAATGCAAAAATTAGTTGAACGCGTGATTAATGATTGACTTTTCGTTGATTTTAAGTCCCCCTCGCCAGTTTTCTATCGCCCGTTTCGTTTCGTCAACCAGTGACGCCCAATAAGGGGAGTTAATAAAATCAAGCGAGCCATAAATTCGAATTCATTCAAAGAAAATACAAATTTCCTCCCGGAAAGGTTTTATTCTATTTTGTATTATTTTGGAATCAGCAAAAGAATATCGATGAACCAAAAAGGACAAAAGGAAAAAAGAAAAGTAAGAACCGCAAGGGATTACTGTTGTTTAGCTAGTAAATATTTTATATGGAATATAATATTTGACATATGAACAAAGTAAGAGAATCATTGATAAAGACTCGAACAACAGGGTAAGAGATTTCCCCATTGAAAACTTTACAAAAATTAAAGCAGGATAAGCAAGGATAACAAGGAAACTTAAAAAAAATATTATATCTCGAAAAAGACAGATTCATAGGAAGAAACGCCTTTCAAGTTAAGGGTTCCATCGATTTATGAAATAAAATGATCGCAGATCAAGTAAACATATGAAATACCGCCTAGAAAACAAAGACAACCCACAGAAAGCGATGGATAGCAACAAAAGCCGCCACGAGCGCTGCGAAGCGGAAGAAGAGGGCGAAAAAGAAAGCAAACGCTTATGCAATGGACAAACAAGTGATCTAAGCAGATCCAATGGAGTACTACGGATCGGATTGGATTGTTGGATGGGTGTATTGGTCAGGAGATCGAATTATTGCAAGCTATGTAGGATTTGTTTGTGTCTGACTCACCTTCGTTTCTCCTTTGGTTTACCGCTGGCCGTGAGATTGGATTTTGGGGCGGCAGAGGGTGGTGAGAGGGAACCACTAGAAGACGAAGATGGTGGGGAGGAGGAATACGATGAGGATACCGATTGCTGCTTCTGCTTCTCTGCTGCCGCTTCGATTGTATCAATTAACGAAACCATTTTGTCGCCGGATTTCAAAACGCAGCAGCATTCAAAGATCTGTCGATGTGGAGGTTCCCTTTTTTTTTTTCTTCTTTCGTTTTTCACTAGCGTTTTTCTTATCGCAAGTTTTTCCAGCACTTTTTGAGACTCTTCGAAGTTGTTGTTGTTTTGTATTATTTATCGCTATTACTTTTGTTATTTCTATGAAAAACTATGACTGTGAGCTTGTATTGGTTGTTTTGCGTTTGTATTGTTGGCACTACACACACACACTTACACTCAAGCACTGTGTTTTCCTCATAAACTTTAATTATTTAACCACTTTTACTCCTTTTACCTTGAATTCTTTTGTATATCTGTGATCTTAATAAACAAAAAACACAACTGCCACAAGGTTATTATGTTATTCCACTGCCGTTGTTGTTGTTGTTATTGTGGTTGTAGTCTCAACTGGCCAATTGCACTTTGGTATATTCGATAATTGAAGTATTATTATTATTGCACTTTAAAGTTCTGCACCGATTTGATGTTGAATTCGCGTTGTAGCATTTCACAAACGCGATTTATCTGCACTATATGCATTTTACAATGCGCCTACAGCATTTTTTCCTCACGAAATCTTAATACGCTTTTATTTTTATTTTCCTCTTTGGTTGCTTCTTCGTAAACAGTGTGGCAGCAGGATGGCGAAAATACCACAATACCAAGACAGTGGATATGGGAAATCCCACAAATATACCAAATACTTAACAAACAAAATTTCCTATAAGGAACAGTGAATACCACAAGGGAACATTTTAAAACTTGTTCAGTTGCTGTTAGCTAACTAAATGTGGAATGCATGCTACTATTTAAAAATATTAGTTATTTTGAAATTGAATTACTATGTAGAAGCATAGCAAATACATTACAGATAAGAATGTATTTCAGTTGTGTTCTTAAACATCGTCACACTTTATACTACTGTGGTTTTCGAAACAAATTATTATTTCGGCAATGCTTTAAAATGAAAACAACTGTCTGTAAAATTAATCTACAGAAAGTTTTCACTGTCCTGATCATCGTCATCCTCTATTGATTATATTCGTTAAAAAAAATCAAAAACAAATAAGTTTAGTTGTATAAAATTTATGTTTATATTTAACTTCAACTATAATTTTCGCGGAAAGTTGCTGTAACTAAACATCATCATTGTCAATCTTCTGTTTCGAAGTATCAGTGCACCGGTTCCATGTTATGGGTAGGATTGGGCATATAGCACCGTTTAGAAAAACAAGGATTTAAGTAAAGAAAGGGTATACATTTTCTTGCATTGATTTACTTGCAACAACTACTACTTCTTTATTGTTTTACTCTAATCTATATTTTCAACAGTCACGATAGATGGTGAAATATTATTGGAAACCAATTGGCTCCAAACTATGACAATCTTTATTATTTTTGTACGAACTCACACCTAGCTCTTATAAGTATGTTTAATACCTATTCCTATTTAGGCCTTGGGTACCACCGAGTTGCTTTTGGGGGTCACCGCCTCATCGCCGCCTCCTTGATTGCCAGCATCCGCCAGCGGATCTGCATTCGGGCCACCAATCGAACTCGCATCCGTGTCCAAAGCATCACCCAGTCCATCATCGTCGTCGTCATCTCCGCCGGATTTGTTGTATACGGTGGGATACTTCTGGAAGCAGTCGCGCATCTTGGTGAATGCTTCGTAGCAATCGGATCCCTTGGGGTCGGCCGTGCTGTTCTGGAAGCAGGAGAAGGCCTCACGAAAGTCGACGCCACATGGACCGGTAGCCATTCCGCCGAGACAAGGACAACTCCAGTTGATCTTGCCATCCTTGGTGATCACGCCCTCCGGTTGTTCCGGTGGCGGTAGCTCGATGGTGCTGGGCGTGGCATGGTCCTGCTTGGTGACAAAGATCACCTTGTCCTTGCCGAACTCCTTGCAGAAAGAAAATGACATTCTGTTCGGGTTTCTTCAGTTAAATGCTATGAATTCCTCGGCAGAGTCCTCGAAATCCAAAGGTTTTCGGGATGTGCTGAGCACCTGGAAATGGCAGGGCACCTGTTGGTAGTATCCTATCAGGGAAATAGCAATGCGGGCGCGTTCCAGGAACTCCTCGGACACCCGGAAAATGGAACGTTTTTGGGATGAGCTGAATTTTACGATTTCCAGGGTAGTTTGGCCACCGATTTCGCCAAAAATATTCGTCAAGGAATTGACGATGCAGCCACAAAGGAACACGGGGGTCAAAGTCACAGAGTCTGGATCACGGAGTTTCCTGATGGTTCAGAAAAAATGTATTAATTTCATTGTCTTTGAGATGCACGTGCGCACGTGTGTTGAACTATTTAGTGGATTATCGGAACTCACAGCTTCACGTCCAAATATTGGTAACCACTCATGCTTTGGTTACGGCAAGTGCAACTCCCAATAGATCTGCTTGGGAGCTAATTTCGGCGAAAACTTCAGGAAGTCGTCTAAAAAATGCCGGTCAGTGTGTTTTTTTATGTAATTATTCCCTTTTCACTGTTTCTTTCTGCTTATAAACAGCTGTGCGCAGGCTGAGATGGCGACTTGGCTATTTACACCAAAAATGTGGCCAAAGATAGCTTAGAAAATAGCTACTTTGATAAAAAATACATTTTCGTGCCATCTAAGCTAAGATTTATACATTAATAAAAGAAACTAAAAGTTTATTAGCATATCTAAAAAGTTTCTAAACAACAAAAACCTTATTCAATCATAGCCCAGAAATACAATATTTTTTAGCTATTTAAATGTATTCTTTTTTAATGACAGCACTATAAGCCATCTATTTCCTAGTGAATGGCAAAAGGAAGATCACAGAAAAGCAATTTGAAATCAAATTTTCATTGATATCGTAACGGTAACAAACAAATAACGTAGTCAAGTTAACAAATTTATGTGCACCACAAATTACAATTAGTCTTCGCTATTAGGCAGCCCAATAAGATTCTTCTCTATATCTTTTTCAAAGTCTAATGTTGATTTAGATGTTTGCAGGACCTGAAAATGACAAGGCGTTTCCTGATAGTGACCTATTAGTTCAAGGGATATTCTTGTCATGTCGTATAGCTCCTCTGGTACACGAAATATAACGCGTTGCTGAAGGACGCAAAACTTTACAATCTCCATTGTGGGCTTTTCCTCACAGAAGAAACTCTCCAAGGCGTTGAGAACGCAATTACGAAATAGTGCGGGAGTCAAAATAACTGTGTCCGGATCTCTTAGCTTGCTGTGGAAAATAAACAGGTTATAATTTAAAAAAATATATATAAGGAATTGCCTTTTCATCTCACAGTTTAATGTCGAAATAATAGTCTTTTGATGTCCTCTTCATGCGGTGTCCACTGTAGCGATATTCAATTGCCAGTGCGTTCGTGGCGAATGGCAAACTGCTGATTGTTTTGGTGATTTGCGCGGCGCCAATATTTTGACGAAATTCTCGCATTGAAAACGTAGAATTTAAAAAAACAAAATTCGAACTGAAACAAATAAGTAAGACTTACTTCGGAACTGTCAAATGGAAAAGCTAACGAATGTCCAGGAAGAGGAGGAGGAGGGTCCTCTGAGCGTGGCCAAACTAATGGTGTGTACCCAACGATCTTGCCTAGAGCTCTAATTTTCTTCAAATCCGATTTCCAGGGCGGCAGCATTACGGCCAAGGACATCAAACTGCTCCAACAGGCCAGTCTGCATACCGTCGAAGCGGTGGCCAATGCCACCAAGAAGCAACTGATGGCCATTCCCGGCTTGGGTGGCGGAAAAGTGGAGCAGATCATCACGGAGGCAAACAAACTGGTGCCTTTGGGTTTCCTCAGCGCCAAGACTTTCCATCAAATGCGTGCAGATGTGGTGCAACTGAGCACGGGTTCCAAGGAGCTGGACAAGCTTCTGGGTGGCGGCATTGAGACCGGTTCCATCACGGAGATCTTCGGCGAGTTTCGCTGTGGCAAGACTCAAATATGTCACACCTTGGCGGTCACTTGCCAACTGCCCATCAGCCAAAAAGGCGGCGAAGGCAAGTGCCTGTACATCGACACGGAAAACACCTTCCGGCCGGAGCGTTTGTCCGCCATTGCGCAGAGATTCAAGCTAAATGAGGCCGAGGTGCTGGACAATGTTGCCTGCTCTCGGGCCTACAACTCGGATCAGCAGACGAGACTCATCCAAATGGCAGCGGGCATGCTCTTTGAATCGAGGTATGCTTAGCTATCCCTTAGCTGACCCCATCTAAAGACTGCTGCTGTTTCAGATACGCCGTGGTCATTGTGGACAGTGCCATGGCTCTCTACCGGTCCGATTACATTGGACGTGGTGAGCTGGCCGCTAGACAAAACCATTTGGGTCTATTCCTGCGCATGCTTCAACGCCTGGCGGATGAGTTTGGAGTGGCGGTGGTCATAACCAACCAGGTGACTGCTTCGCTGGACGGCGGACCGGGTATGTTTGCCGGCGATGCCAAGAAGCCCATCGGGGGCCACATAATGGCCCACTCCTCCACCACGCGTCTTTATCTCCGCAAAGGCAAGGGCGAGACCCGCATCTGCAAGATCTACGATTCACCCTGTCTGCCGGAGTCGGAAGCCATGTTCGCCATCCTGCCGGATGGAATCGGAGACGTTAAGGAAGGAAACTAAATCTTAAATGTAACTATTGAATGCTTCATTTTTTTAAAGCTTATGATTATGATAGTGGTGTAACTCCCCCCGAACAAGTTTCTTTGTTTATAATAAACTAATTGTAATGTCTAATGATTGCTAGGAACTCTGGTCGATAAGGTATTATAAAGGGAAACCACAACATGTAAAGTTCATCATAAATGAATTATAAGGGGAATAAAACCGAGAATTGAGAGTATGTACCATCTATATTTAATTCAATAATAATCAAAACATCTACATACTTAGTAATTATTTATGGATTTGAAGCTGATAAGCTTTTAATGTCTGTTAGTTGTATTAAGCGGGTGCGGCAGGATCCGATCTCGAGAGCTGCACTGATATGCACCTCATATGCAAAACATGTGTAAATTTGGGTTGTTATCCTAGAAATTACGCAATAGCACTCGGCTTATCGAAACTTGATAGTCCAGAGCAAGGTCTTCAAATTGCCCGGTCTTCAACGCTTAGAAGTAACTGGAACACAAGAGGTTGATTGTTGGAACAGAAGCATATCTGCTTTTTACCTACCTTATTGTACAGTTGGACTAGCAGAGCTTGTCCACAAACGTTCATCTACTGCGGAACGGGCTCTGCGGAAGCGGAGCCCTCCTTGGCCACAACCAGGTTGTTGTAGCCACGCTCGTTCATTCCGACGCGAAGGTTCTCGTTAATATTTTTCGTGTAGGTCTTGTAGATTTTAACCTTCTCACAAAAGTCAATCCAAAAGTTGTCCTCGGTCTCCGGCTCTGGGTTAAAAAGACTCTTGAAGCCATCGTATATACCAGAGGACACTTTGCGAATAACTTGCGCCTTTTCCTTGAACTCAACTTCGTCGGATAGATCCATCTTCCAGAGGTCTAGATTGCCCACATATCGTCGAAGTCTTCGCATAATGTCAACACACTCTGGATTTCGCAGCAGCATTAACTTGGTGAACTCTACCTCTTTGAACTGGTCGAGGATCTCCAAGCACTTGCCCACATTGGCCCTTCGCAAGCCCAGGCACTCTCGCAGCTGCTGGGAAAGTTGGATAAAGTCGCGCTCCATGAACAGAGCATCCTCGTGCTCGATTAGCTCCTCGATAAACCGCAAGGCCTCCTGCTTGGGTATCTCACTCCGCGTTGGTTCCACCACGATCCTTTCGGGCATGCTCTCCGGCTCGAGTTGACCGCTTTCCAGCTTTACCTTGAGCTCCATGGCTTCCTTGCGAGCCTTCTCCAACCAAGCCTCCTCAGCAGCGGCGCTCTCAAAGACGTCCGGCTTGTTGTAGTTTATGTCTATGCCCAGGCACTTGGCAGTAGGCATGTAAACCATAAGCATCTCGTTCCGAATGTTCTGAAAGAGTATAGGTGTGTATAAAGGTATGAAAAATTTTCTAGGGACTATTATTTTCTAAAAAGGTACCACATTTTTTTCTCGAAAAGGAAAACAACCATTTTGATTTATCACAAATGTGAAACAGTGAATGGTAGTAAACTTACTTTGGCTAAGCATTAGATTAAGAAAAGAATGACTCATTTTACCTTATCGTATCTAGTTTGAGTCACAGATAATCGTGGTGGAATAAATTATTAAATAAATGTAGTTTTTTGGTAAACGTTTTTTAAAATTGTTAACGAATTCCGTCGCTGCCTAATGAGTTTTTAACTATATTCTGTTTAAAAAGCTGAGTTTTTAGTGGGCTAGGTCGTGATTCTTACCCAAGGTAAACCATCCTAAAAACATGCATTGCCGTGACCTATTTCATTTATCCATACTCACATTGATTGGCCTTGCCCGCTTCTGGATGGGAGTAACTGCTGCGGTGGGCTTGGATTTCTTTACGGATTTCTTGCTGGGGGTGGTGGCCGCTGCAGCCGGAGCGGGATGGGGTGCCTGGGCGGTACCGAGTCCCTCGGTTGGGACACGCCGCTTGGGTGGAGGAGGTGCTGCCTCAGATGAGGAGGGTCTTCTGGCAGCTTCAGCACCCGCCTCGCTGTCGCCGACCACATGGCGTGGTGGTGCCTTGGACTTGCGGTTGCCGCTCTTCTTGGGCTTCTCGGCCACCGTCGCAGGAGGAGCTGAAACAGTTTGAGCAGTGGGTTCCTCTGGCTCCTTCGGTTCCTCATTACTGACAGCCTCGGCGACGGCAGGCGGTGCAACAGGCTCCTCGGCGCTGGACAAATCGATGGGCGCCGAATCCTCGCCGCGCAGGGCGCTCTCAATTTGATCGATTGCCTCAATGAACTTGGCCCGCTTCATGATCTTCTCGGTGGCGAACTTCTCCTTGTTGTCCACATACGGGAACAGATCTTCCACCTTGATGTTGGCCGTCTCCCCAGTGCCATAGAAGTAAACATTATACTTCTTGTTGTTGTTGCTCTTGGTGATCTTCGCCGGCCACGGCGGATAACCCTTCACCTTGGCGAACACCAGGTCGCCAATGCAGTAAGATTTGGCCGCCTTTTCCTTGCCCATTTCAGTATTCGTTTAGTTTAATTGGATGGCGTGCAGTTCCAATTTGTTTTCACCAATATTTTGTGGCGTCTGCTTGTTCGTCTCGCGCTTTGCTCGCTGCAGTGTGACCGGAGTTCAGGGAGGCGGCGTTTTTTGGGCTCCAATGTGCGTACAGTGTGGCCAGACTATCGAATTGCAACACTCTGTAACATTTTTCAGGTTCTGGATATACAACAACCGTTATCAATAATGCAACGGATTTTCAAAAACTACATATTTTTAAAATTTATTTAAATTTGTGACTTAACATAAAATGTTATTACAGTTCGTCAGTGATAGTCATAATCTTTATCTTTATTTTACAAATAATTTCTTTTAATCTTATTTTGCACATATTTTTTTCTTTCTATTAATTTTTCTGTCGGATTCGATTTCTTGATATCTTCAATATGATTACTTCCTATATTATTTTTTTTTCTATTTGATGGTTTTTAAGTTTTGGCTTGAACTCATACTTTCGTTGTTAATTTGTTGTTTTTTTTTTAATTTATTGAACGTTAAATAAATTTCAAATAAGCTTAAGCTTAATTTTTTAGTATTAAGTGCCTTATTTACCATAATTAGTACTGTCCCCTGCTACATTGTTATTTTATTTTGACATAGTATCTTATTAAGTTTGTGTTATCAGTGTTTTAAAATTATTGTATTTCAGTTGTCAAGTTATTAATACAACCTTTCATTGTTGTTATACTCTCAGTCAGGGTATAAAATCGCAACATACTTGTCAAGTATACGCAGTGTATCCGATTTACCCCATAATTACAAACCAAAAATCGCTGGCAGCGCTCCCACAGGTGGAAGTTCGTTGGCAGGCGATTCCCACCTCAGCGCGCCCACACAAAACACCTTTACGCACCTCGGCGCATATATACTCACCACATCAACGGAAAACATTTTTCGAAAGCATTTCTGTTCGCCCTCGCTCAGTCGTCGTTGGTTTGCCAAAAAGAATAGTATCTCGTTCTCCCCAAAATTCCCGAAGAACTTCTGTTTGTTTACCGAAACGCCGGAGAGATCACGGCGGAAAATAGTTTTCATTTGTGGCCTGGAATCCAAAGAATTTGTTTATTGCGGAGCGTAAATTCTTGATTAAGTGGCGCGAATTCTTGAGAGCATAAACATGCAGGAGTTAATAGTCGGCGCCGGCGGAATCGGCGAGGTGCTGCAGAACGTCCCATATGTAAATGAGAATGTCGAGAACGAAAATCGCCAGAAGTGAGTCATTTGCACGCATATTTATCCGTAGGTTCTTGCCTAATACCTATGTTTGCGGTCGCCATTTGAGCCCGTTTTTGTTAATGGCAAGCTATACTAACACATATAGTCAAGGTCGCTCTGATGTCACCTCAAGCGGATATTTGTTGTTGCCTGGCAACTTAATGTGGTCAATTTCAATTTAATTAAAGTAATTACCTAGCTCAATTTGGATTATATACATTCCCCATGCCATTATTTCACATTATTGTTTGTTATATAGATTATCATTATGTTATAACATATTATTATTATATTATATGATGACAAAAAATAATAAATATTTTAATGGTTTTTAAAGATTTTAAAATAAAACATTTCAAAGCTTTATCCCAGAAAGGTAATTAAGTGTATCTGTACATTTGTTTTACACTTTTATAACGTTCATTATTTCTAAATGTTTATTTTCCAAATGGTTTCGAAAAACTAAATTATAAAACAGTTGTATATGGTACTTAAGACTAGAACTCTTGTTGCCTTAAATGTTTAAGTTTATGAATAAATTAAAACTAGTAAATAGCATTTAAGACAGATTTCCCTTCTATAAGCAATTATAAGGCCTCTTTTTGAGCACAATACTTCAAAATCGGAACATATGAACCAAATTTGGCCACATGCGTTCCTCAAATCTGATTTGTTTTTTGAGCCAAATTCTATCCTGAATTCCAATGTATTTACATGTGGGCATATTTTGAGCATGGCCTGCTTTTTCGCAATTGTTCCATTTATTCAATGCGAATAATCATGTCGGAAGCGAATGCTTACATTGAAATGCAAAATTTCTTGGGCTTTATTTAAATTATACTTGAGTTTTTCGGCGCATTCTTGGCATTCTTTATCGGAGGCCCTGACTCTGACAATTGAATTCAAGGACACCGTAATTGCTAAAATGAAATTAGTCATTTATCATGGGACAGACGGAGGTCTGTCTGCAGGTCTGTCAAAATTTTTTGGCAGTCGAAAAATACAATTTTTGTGGCCGAGGTAAAACTTTATATTTTGACAATGTCGAATTTTTGGCGGATTGGAATTTTGTTGCAAATTACAAGATATGAAACAGTATGGCTAGTTCCTTAAGCGTAAACGATCTTAGTATTTTTCCCAACCCATTAACCTAGTTATCTCAGAACAATCATGTGATTGACAATACAAAACTAGCCCAGCGACAAGGTTTTCAGATTCCTCCTCTATATAGCGAATACATAAATAATGGTCATGGAATTCGAAAACATCTCAATTTGTTCTTGCTTTTATTTTTGCATTCGGTGATAAACACAAAAAAACAAAATCCATAAAGGCGGGCGGTGTGAAATATTTTAATTTCACTTATTTTCAAATCAGAAATTTTTTCAGCCGATGCCACTGGCTTGGTCTAGTGAAAGTGACCGATGATTAATTTTGGCGCTTTGCCAGCGGAATTTGTGATTATTATTTAATGACGACGCGAAGTCGCCGTAAACATATAATAAAACCAAAAAGAAAATCTTCTTTTGACACACAGAAAATCGCAATGCTCTTAAGTAGGTATGGCTATATATTTGAAAACTTTATATTAATTTAAAAATAATTAAAGTATAATTGTTTTTCAAAATTGCCGATTTTATAATATTTAATATACATAAGTTATTGTACTGACCATATTTGTAATTTCCAAATTTTCGAATTTCTGCAAGGGTATATCTTCCTTCGTTGTTAAAAATATGTGAAGTGTTTAATTTTACATTTACATTCCTCAGTGGCACTTTTGGGTGATGACAGATGCGGGAAGTTGGACGAGGGGGTTTTAGGCACCTTCCATTTGATCTTTAATGACAAGAGGATGTCGGGGGATTGGGTTGATGGATAGGGCGTACAAGAGCCAGATGACAGTCCCCTAATTTATTTATTAGAATGCTACCATATAGGACAACAAGGAATGTTTCTATGCCAAAATTAAATAAATATTAATCTGTAGTCAAAATACCTTACACTTTAATGACTAATCCCTTTGTTTACTCTCTTGATAAATTATATATCAATTGAAAATCCAAAAAAGATTTAAGAAAAACAGAAAAATAAAAGTAGAAGCCAGCTGGCTTATTAAATAATAAGATCACTGACCTTATTAGCAATATGTTCACCCATTCCTAGATGGATTTTGATTGGTCTTCTCTTGTAATTAAATTGTTGTTTAGTCAAACACATTAAAATATAAGATATCGACGACGTAGTAGATTATATTCCATAATGTGATGACTGATCTGTTTGTTTACGCATTCGCCAAATACCATTATAGATCAATTCTATTTTCATTTCGCATCCATTTGTTATACACTCCGCGATACTAATTATAAACAGAAAATTTTGAGGTGTACAGATACAAATCTGCGTATATATGTATCTTAGCAATATGTTTATTGTTTGTGCCTACGCAGCGCAAAAACCATGACGTCGCCTGATAAATACGTAGGTGCTGGGATGGGATCTGCTGGGATTGGATGGGATCTCATGGGGATGGGGATGGAATGGCGCTGGTCTCTGGGCGATGTTGTTTTAGTTTCCATTCACAAAATTACCCTGGCTGTTTCATGTTGAGAGCTTTAGCAGTACTACGCAAATAATTCACGAATACCTGCCATTTGTTTATGGGTTATTTCTGTTTGGCTTAACACCAAATGTTCTCCTTTGTTCATTTGAGAAATGTTTTTATTTTATCTGTTTTTTCACCCTCTATTAATATATACATACATTAAATGCATTACGTTGTCCAGCCAAAAATTGGGCACAGTATTTTTCACCAGGATTCAGTATCACTTGTTTTTAAAATCTAAAATTATACATAATTATATATATTAAATATGACCATAAGCAAATTGGATTGAAAAAATTGAAGTATATTAATTTTGATAAATAGAAAAACATCAAACATAAAAAATGGAAGGTTTTGTATTTATAGTATATATATACAACAATATTCCTAAAACCAAGTAAAAGAAGTACATAAATAGATATTATTAATATGATGCCCACTTAAATAATCAATAACCCATTAAACTTTCCCTAAAAAAAATAAATAAAAATGTTTTTTTGCAATATGCTCAATATCTATTAGTGTTCAAAGCAACAAAATAATTATAAAAACTAATTGCTTTCTATTGCTTATTTGCAGTAAGCTGAATGCATCCAAGATAGAGGATACCACTCCGTTTCCTGGACTATCCCGTCTGACTCCTTCATTGATCCTTTGCGGAGCGGCGGCGGTGGTGCCTGCCTACATGGACAAACTGGGCGTGAGTTGTGTGGTCAATGTGGCCCCCGAACTTCCCGACACACCGCTGCCCAGTCATGGGAATCCGTTGTACCTGCGTATAAACGCCCAGGATCGATCGGAGGTGGATCTGTACAAGTATTTCGATGAGGTGGCCGACCTGGTCGAGGAGGTGCGTCTGAGTGGAGGCTGCTCCCTGATTCACTGCGTGGCTGGGGTCAGTCGATCGGCCAGCTTGTGTCTGGCCTATCTGATGAAGCACGCAGGGATGAGTCTGCGCGAGTCCTACCAACATGTCCAGTCCATCAGGCCTCAGGTTCGACCAAATTCCGGATTCTTCCAGCAGCTGAGGCGTTACGAGCAGGAACTAAGAGGCAGCAGCTCGGTGGCCATGGTGTACTTCGCTTCATTGGACAAGGAAATACCCGACATCTTGGAGCCGCAGTACAGGGCAATGGAGGACTTCTACCAGCGATACCGCAGTTCCCTGAGGAAGCGATAAATTCAGCCAATCACCTAATCTTAATTGTGATACTTGTCCCCTACTGCTAGACCTTAGATTAGATCTTAATATTCTATGTGCTTATAGATAACCACAAAATGCTGAAACTTACATAAGTCTGCCTAAGTCAAAGATGTATGCTTAAACTTCGTTATTACAAATACACTTTTATTTTCCTTTAAGAACATTGAATTTACAGCGTAAATTAATCAGTTTTAGTAACTTCAATGAATCACAAAGTCGTAAGAGAACAAACAACACACTCGTATTATATTGTACATCATCTATTATTATTTACACGTACTCGTATAGTAGCTAACTAAACCGTAACTCGTAAATGCTCACGTTGTATTGTACTTGCGCCAATCGCCATACAAAAACCTTTGGCATCCGCGGGGCGAATTGAATTGATATACAGATATGATGAGGAGGAGGAGGAGGAGGTATCCCCAGCTTAGGATGTGAATATGTACATTAAACATCTAGAATTCAGCTTCTCAACACAAGCGACTTAGACGAGACTTAAACCGAAAGAAATAATTGGCTAGCTAAAAGGCAGAAGTAACCGTTTGTGTACAATCAGCTATGTTAACTCTAATATCCGACCGCCGATGGTATTCCCCATTTACTCCGTCGTAAGCGGCAACTGGGGCTGCTGGCTCGCCAGTTTCTTGAGGTTCTCGTAGGCCGTGTTCATGATGCCCCAGCTGATGAAGGAGCGGCCCGTGTTGAAGGCGCATCCGCGGTAAAAGTTCGCTATGCGGCAGTCGCGCTCCATGTAAATTCGCTTGCATGCCTGCCAACTGCCCTCTGACCTCTGGCCCATTTCACTCTGCAACGACACCTTGATCACGTTGAGCGGATAGAAGATTGTACTAATGCTGGCCCCAATCACTGCGCCAGCTATAAATTCCTGGGCCGTGCGAGTCGACACGGATTTCTGCGGATTGTTTAAAGTTATTAAAGCGGTTTCTGCAGAAGTCAAGACAGGAGGCACTCACTCTTTTGGGCAGACTGGAACTGGCCTCCTCCCGCAGCACGAAGAACAACGCGTTGGACAGGCCGTTGCGCCAAAATACTGGTTCAAGTCCCCTGTAGAGCTCCCGAAAGCCATGGTGGGCCACCACATACCTGCGAGATAAGAAAGTACAAGTTTAGATAGTTTTGATCAGAAAAATTGAATCAATTGATTATATTTTGCATGGTAATTGAAAAAATAAATATTTGGTTTTATGAACTATGGCGATACTTTCACGATTGAACAATCCAACACCAAAAGTCAAGCCAAAGCGTTGAAAGCAATTGTACATACTACTAATCTCTATTGTCATAGCTATAGATACTTTAAAATGAATCTTATCTTATTGTTATGAGCTTGCCAGGCAGAATACTATACATAAAGTCTAAGAAGCTAAATTACATTATGGTTTTCAACTAGTTTTTAACAAGATTTTATTAGTAACTAACATGTGAGATAGATCATAAAAATATATAAAAAGTAAAATGTTGTTTCACCTAGGCCTTTTTTGAGAAACCTACTTATTTTACCATTGTGGTGTACTACGGCATTGCTCACCTGAATGCGTTTGGAGTATTGGCAAAGTGCTGGTGAAACTTGGAGTCGGCCAGCAGGGTTTGCACCCGTTCGAAGGGCAGGAGGATGGACTCGGCGCTGCCGGCGACCACTCCGGCGATCACCTTGGCTCCGTAGTCGTTCATGTGATAGTCCTCCACCAGGTACCTCCTCGTGCCATCGAACACCCCGAACATGATGGACAGGGAGATGGTCTTCTGGGCGAGAGGTGGTAGCATGCCGCGGTACAGGAAGCCCAATCCCTCCTGGCGCAGTTGCGCAAAGGCCGAGGTGATGGGCACTCCGTGGAGCATTTGGCGGAAGATCATCTTGTAGATGGGATATGTGGCCGCGATGTTGACGAAGGCAGCCCCGCATCCGCAGGCGAACTCCTCCCACTGGAAGGCCCCAAAGAATCGTTGCGAGAAAACGCTCCCATGTTCGCATTTTGCCTTGTCAGGGATGGTTCCAGATGGCACTCTGTTTGGGGGCGGTGGGTCGGTGGTTTTCGCGACATTCGGCGCTCCATCGTCTTTCATTTTGTTATTATCCTAACTTTAATGCTGGCGTGTGGAGAAGTGCGCATTTGTCACCGCGTTACCATTGTAACTACTCACACACTGGGTTTGTGCTGGTTTGTTTTGGTTCACATCGAGTTTAATTATATAATAATGAAGAAGAACCACGGTATGACGGCGGCAGCCAGTGTGACCGCACGTTGGCCTGTAGCGCATACCAAAGGACTTTGTTAAACTATTTACTGTTATCAAAGTTACCTTAAAATAACGGCTAATTTTTATTATATTTTAAAATTTAGAATAGTTTTTTTGCATATGTCTCCTGTTATTGAATTTAATTTAAAATTCAGAGTAAGCAAACCAAATCAAAAAAAAAGTTGCATTATAAAATATATCACATATGAATAAGGAAGTTATTATGAATTTTAAAGAGCAAGAAAAAAACACAACTTTGTTGTTAAAAAGATAATTTAGAAAACTTTAAAGCTAAATGAAAAAAGATAAGAAAACAGGAAAAAATTGATTAAATTCAGCGATATTTAATTAAAAAACATATGACTAACAGTGCCCCTAACAGCACGCTGAAATCGCGTTAACAGCACTGGCTGGCCTGCTTTATCCCCTTTTGTGCACGCGATGCAGCCACACTTTCTTTTCGCTTCTGGTTTCCGGCAAGGTATGTACATGAATTTCTATCCACGTGTATTTTAACAATTTTTTAGCCATAATTCTTAATTTTAGAGGTAATAAGTTCAACTCCGTTGGTCCGTGTGCTGTTTGCAAGTTAGCGGTTCGTATTTTGCCGAAAATTGGACTATTTCCTGTAAATCTCTGTGGAATCGCTTCTGTTTGTGTTGAAAATCCACAAAGAATAAAACCGCAAATGCTCTGGATAAAGCGGGAATCTAACTAAAAAAGCCACCCCAACTTTGTTGACTTGTACTTTAGTCAGAAATCCTATTGTTTAAGCATGAAACCTATTTATTAGCATGTGTTTATTTGAGGCTAGTGTACTAAAATGTGTTTTCATTGTGCATTTTCAGCATCAAGATGACCATCCGCCCAGCGTACAGGCCCAAGATCGTGAAGAAGCGCACCAAGCACTTCATCCGCCACCAGTCGGATCGTTATGCTAAGCTGTCGGTAAGTGGGATTATCAACTATAGTACTCCAAAAAAGATCTTACAGAGCAATTTCCTTTTAGCACAAATGGCGCAAGCCCAAGGGTATCGACAACAGAGTGCGTCGCCGCTTCAAGGGACAGTATCTGATGCCCAACATCGGTTACGGATCGAACAAGCTCACCCGCCACATGCTGCCCACCGGATTCAAGAAGTTCCTGGTGCACAACGTGCGCGAGCTGGAGGTCCTGCTGATGCAGAACCGCGTCTACTGCGGCGAGATTGCCCACGGAGTGTCCTCCAAGAAGCGCAAGGAGATCGTTGAGCGCGCCAAGCAGCTGTCGATCCGCCTCACCAACCCCAACGGTCGCCTGCGTTCTCAAGAGAACGAGTAAGCTTAAGATTCTTGCGAGTTTTTATAACGTGGTCGGAATACAAATTTGAAAACGTTCAAAGTGGACTTTTAGTTTAACTTAATACTTCAAGATTGGGTTAGGTACCGTGTTTTCAATGCCCTTACATTAAGCGTTTGTGTGGAGTTATCTAATGCTTTTGAAATTGGCATCGACAAGGTGCTTATTGGAAGCACTACCTGCATTTTCCGGATATCTCAGATGGCTTTTCTGCATGTTTATGTTGTGTAAATATTGGAATAACTATATCTCAGTTATCCATAACCAACAACTTTTAGGATGCCATTTTAGAAAATGTATGGATATGAATATTATTTGAAAACTTATGGGAATTAATTTTTGTGTTCCAATAAGTTAATCAATAGTATCCCAAATGTGTTAAAATAACCAGCTTTCTTTTTAGGTGATATTTATTTTTGAAAAATGCTTTACAAGGTATAATCTTGAAAAGAAATAATTACAAAACAGTAAATTAGATTTAATTCAGTTCTCTTCTGCAACATAATTCGTGCTAAGATTGATGAGATATTAATTTCTTTAATAACATAAAGTATGTATATAGAAAACTATAACTCATTTTCATTCGACGACTAATCGCCTTTAAATTTAAAAACATTTATTCATCTGTAGCAATAAGTGCGATTTTAAGGTATAGTAGTGAAGATACGGACTTCGAATACCAGTAAATTATATTTTGTAGGCGACATCTACAATATTCAAGTACAAAGAAAAGGAGATATATTAGGGATATACAATTACTTATTGTAGCTAAAGGTAGTTTATTTCAAGACTACGTCGTGATCAAATTGCAAATGGTGCTCCAGCTCCTTCTTGTTCTCAAAGTTGGTGTTGCATATGAGGCAGAAGCCGCTGTTCTCATCGTTGTCGGACATGATGACGGTCACGGCCGCCTCCGATTCGTCGACGTCCACGTGCAGCTCCTCGACGACCTGCTGTTCATCGGCAGGCGCTTCTTCCCGCACGCCGTACACCACATCGCCCTCATGGGTCTTCATGTGCATCTTGAGGGTGTATCGCTCGGTGAAGGATTTAGGGCACACGGAGCAATAGTGCCTTGGCCGGTTCTCCTTGTGGATTAGCGTGTGATGGTTAAAGGTCTTGCGCGACTTGAAGGACACATTGCAGATGCTGCAAATGATGGGATTCTCCTCGGCTTCGTGTCGCAGCCGATGGTTGTAGAGCAGGTTGTCCTGCGAGAACCGCAGGCCGCACTTCTCGCACTGGTACTTCTTCTTGTCCCAGTGCATGCGCATGTGGCGCAGCGTGTTCACCGGCCGCGAGAAGCTCTTGGGGCAGTAGCGGCACTGCTTCTCCGTCTTTCCCTCGTGCAGGTTCATGTGCAGCTCTAGATACTCCTCGTCGCGTCGAATTACCCCACAAATGGGACAGATGTGGTTGGGCTGCTTGGAGTGCTCCTCGCTGGTGTGTCTCTGGAGTTGATACCAGGAATTGAAGACCTTGCCGCAGGTGGCACACTCCTGCTTGACGCGTTTTTTCATCGGCTTGTCCTCGCCGTCGGAGGATTTACCGAACTGGCCCTCCGAATCGCCCACCTCCACCTCGCAGACATAGTCCTCATCATCCTCCTCGTCCCCTTCTTCATCTTCGTACTCCCTTTTTATGTCCATATCGGAGTCCTCCTGGTCCTTGACCAGCTCCACAAACAGGGCTTCCGCCTCGGCATCGGCATCTGTTTCGGTGTCGCTTTGAGGGACGTCCACCTCCTCCACCAGGAGATCTTCCCCAGCTTCTGGCACATCAAACTCGGACTTTAGAGCGCCCTTTAGCTGGTTTGTCAGACGCTTCTGGGTGGTCATCAGGTTGACCATGATGGTGTCGTACTCGGCCAGCTCCGAGAAGCACCGTGGGCACAGGCGGGCACTGGGCTTCAGGTCCAGCGACGTCTGGATGCAGTTGGCTAGGTGGGTGAGCACCAGAGACACCGTTTTCTGCGACGAGGGCACTTTGGCCGACAGCTTCTCGTAGCGCGTGGAACTCGAACTGGGGGAGCCCGCGTCGCTCAGCTCGACGGCGCCGCAAAAGAAGCAGGTGTCCATTGTATCTCGGTTCGGGATCAAGCGGTTTATTGTTTACAATCCCGGAGAGGAGATGGTCAAATTGTATTAAATTTAATAGAGTTGGCAAAATGAATGAATATCGGAAGCTATACTAAAACGCGTGAAATGCAACCATGGCATCATAACGACCAGGGATGGCGAAACAGTTGAAAAAGTGTATGGGGTGGAACGATGGGAAGGGAACAGGGGAGAAAATATGGTAACTGTCATTTTTTTATTAATTTATCTATTTAAACTAATTAAATTAAAATTTTAAATTTTTACATTCATGAAAATTTTAATAGCTATAAAACATCTTAAAATTTGATGTGTTTAAAAATAACAATTAAGCCACACAAAAATAATTAAATTTTTTTAAATTATTATTTTGTTAATTAGCACTTTAACACTTTTACAAAAAGATGTATAATTTGCATGAACAGTTTTTATTTTTTATAATTAGCTTAAGTAAATACACTTTTAAAATTAATGCATTTTTGGTACAGTTGTGTTTTAGGTATTAATTTATTATATTTAAAATAAAAGTCCATGATAGCTCTCAACCAAAATGGCTCAGATTTAGCTTAAAATATTTTAAAAGGTACCAACTTATTTTCTTAAAACAAAAACTTTTTAGTTTCCATTGAATTTTATTTTATTGCTCTGTAAAAAGTTCGAATTAATAAAGCAACTACATACATTTATACAGATTACACTTTTTTATTGACGTACTTATTTAAAATATTTGTCATGTTCCATCGCAAACAGTGTGTGGCTATTGTTTTCTAAATTTTAAGCAAAAAACTTCAAATTATTGAAGTATTTACAAAATATAGATTATCTTCATTTCTTGACTTACTTATTTAAAATATGATCTGTCAAACTCAATCTATTCTAAGAATTTCGGTTAATTGAAAGCTTATAAGATCGCTGTCATTATTAATGGATTCCACAAGTTTATCCTGCGGGTCAAGGACGGAACAATTTCCGCTCTGCTTAACGAAGGATCGATGTCTTTTAGATACGGATCGACTGTTTCGCACAAAAGTTCGGGTGACATTGCAGGGAATCGGGTCTTGGGTGACCACTGAGCAGTCGGGCTCCAGGATCTCCTTGCTTATCGAGTCCCTCAGCTTGGCCAGAACGGAGTACAGTATCTTGAGACGCTTTACGATGCGTTTGGGATCCACTGGAATGTCCAGGCTGACCACAGCCTGGCACTCACGCAGGATCAGGATGAGATCCTTGTGCACCCGCTTGCCATCTTCACTGAGAGTCGAATAATTAACAGGCAGCCGGAAGTGCTCCACCAAAACACTGCCCCTTTGGACAATCAGCTTCAGCTGACTCTTCTCCTGAATTTGGATACTTTTGCCCAGCATGTCCAGATAGTTATTGATCAGGGAACAACTGTCGATGATTTCGTGGATGACGTTGCGAAAGATCAGCAGCTCCTGGTTGAAGTGATCCTGCAGGATGTCCGCATGGTGTGAGGATGAAGCGGATTCTGGTAACTGGAGAGCTGGAACAATGCAGGCATCCAGGGATTCCAAAGAAGCCAGGCAGCTCCTCACAATGGTCTTCGTCTTTATGTCCTGCGAGAAGGCTATGGCCAGCACTCCAATCTGCTGGATGCGATCCATATTGGTGTCGAAGGTGGAGACTAGTTCCTGAGCGCCCTCCATGTCCTTTTGCAAAGCTTCCTTCAGCCTTTCAACCGATGTATTCTCCAATTCTATCAAGCTGACGAAGAGCAGATGCAGCAGTGCCTCATTTAGAAAGGATTCTAGGGCATAGAGAGCCCGCTCCAGGGAGAGGGCCTCCAGCTTACGATGACCACAATTGGGATCTCCAGACTCCTCATGAAAGGTGGCACATTCGCTGAGTAATGTCTCACACAGAGCAGTCAACGCCTTCTTGTCCGAGTTAATAGCCACATTGGCAAAGGCCAAGGCATGGCGAACTAGGTGATTCACTATGCCGGCCAACTGGTAGGTGTCCTCCATGAAACTCTCCTCCAGCGTGTGTAGCGAATTGTTGCCCCTTTGAGCCAGCAGCTCCATGTAATCATCCAGGTGATCTAGTGCCAGATCCATTAGCTCCACAAACGAGTGATCCTCCAGGTTCTTGACGGTGGCCACGCTGGTCTCCAGCTGCGTCAAGGATATGAGCAGTCGGCGGAGACACCAGTCCAAGCGATCGAGAAAGTGCTGCCTGGTCATCTGCGGCGCCTCCCTGATGATGGTCCGCTCCAAGTGGGTGATGCAAGTGACCACCTGGGTGAGGCACAGGAAGATGGTCTCCACGTCCAAGTTGGCGCCGCTGGGTGCCACTTCCGGCAGTCTGGCCTTCAAATCGCTGGCAAAGTCAAGAAAGGTGGCGCAGAACTCGTTTAACCAGCCAATGTTGCCCGTGCTGCTGTATCCTTCTGCAATCAGCTCACTGCAAGTATTTAACTGAAACAATAACGACTCCATATTCTAAAAGATGTGATCTGGTAATGTTCAAACTTTCGACTAAGCACTAAGCAAGCGGTCGAATGCCTTTAAATAGGCAAAACTAACAGGTAGAAAGGATATCTTTTGCTGGTTTAGAAGACATCTGCCTGTTTTATTACCTCAGCCTTCATAAATCCGCGAATTCCGCCAAAATACGCGATTTTACCTGGTTGGATTCCTGGAAAACAGGCAAATAACTGGTATTTCCGTCAATGATTGTTTAGATTTAATTTTATGATACATACGCGCACTTATGTACCCATAAGCTGGGCTACTTAGATTAAACTAGCAAAGGACTACCCTAAAAGAACGCTGTGGTGGCTTCCTTGGCCTCCGCCGCGTCCTGTTTCTCGACCGGCTGGTGGACTCGCTTGTGCACCTTCAGCGTGTACTTGTCCACGAAGGACTTCTCGCAATCGGGACAGGGATAGCGTGGCCTATCCGTTTGGTGGGTGCGCAAGTGGTGCTTGTAGGTGCGCTTGGTCTTGAACTGCTGATGGCACACCTCGCAGATCAGAGCGTTCTCCTCGGCGTCGTGGCGCATTAGATGGTTGTACATGAGCCAAGAGAGCGAGAAGCGCTCGCCACACTTGTCGCACTGGTACTTCTTCTTGTCCCAGTGCACTTCCATGTGGCGCAGGACATTCCGCTTGTGGGAGAACTTCTTTTCGCAGTAGCGGCACTCCAGTTCGGTCTTGCCTTCGTGCAGGTTCATGTGCAGATCTAGGACCTCGTCGTCCTTGACCTTCAGGCCGCACACATTGCAGGTGGCATGCTCGTTTTTCTGGCAGTTGTCCGCCTTGATATGCCGCTCGAGAACCTCCTGGCTGGAGAACATCTCGCCGCAGATGTGGCAGGGTATCTCGGTTGTTTCGGTGAAGAACTCCTCCTCGGAGGAGGGCATGCTGTCATCCGGCTCGCTGAACCGGAAGTCCTCGTCCAGCATCTCCTCCTTCATAAATTCCTCCTCCTCCTCTGTTTCCTGCTTCGAGGGCTGCGGCGCGGGCTCCTTTAGCGAGGTGGCATGGATAATCGTGAAGGCCGGCACCTGGACTTTGGCCCTCTTCCCCGCCTGCTGCTTGGTTTGCTCCGGTTTGCCCTCCACCTGCCGGCAGCCCAACAATGCATCCGCAATTTGGCGCTGCACCTGGCTGAGATTCCGCACCAGCCTGTCGTAGTTGAACAGATATTCCAGGCAATCCCGGCAGGCAGCCGAGTTGGGCGCGAGATCCAAGCGCTGGTTGATGATCTTCTCGAAGTATTTTAGGATATCCTTTATCGGCTTAAACGTTCCTGGCACTATGCAGCCTGCAAAAATTTCGGGTATTATGTTTTCCTGACTGGGGAGTAGCAAACCGTACCTTCTATTAACTGGAAAACGCCCACGGACTTCTCCTTGCCGCAAACGAAGCAAAACGGGCGCGTTGAGCTCATCTCGTCGCTTTCAATTCGAAAAAAATCGGCTTTAACAATTTAATTTGTGTATATTTTGTTGTAAACGCAAAGTTGCATTGGTGTTGGTTGTAAATCAGTGTGACCAAGTAGGAATTGTGTCAATAAGATAAAGACGGCAACTGTTCCAATGGTTACCTTGGATAAAATCGCTTTGGTCACACTGCCAATAAAAGCAGCATTTTTGGAAAAATTGCCGGTTGGTAAGAAACAAATTTCTATTTTTAAGTGCTTTTCCGCAATGAATCGTGTTCAATTGTTCTCCAAAGGACTTCGACTGATACACAAAATGTCCGAGGAAGCACTTGCAGGCGTGCCATCGGTGCACATCAGCCCAGAGGGCATCTTTAAATACATCCTGATCAATGTCATCGATGGCGGCGATGCCTCCAAGGCGGTGGTTCGTGGTTTTGCGGATTGCGAGTGGCACGGTAGGATGATTTATTCATTCTTTTAACTTAAATAATCTAAGGCACCTATTTATTCTAGCCGACATCTTCGAACGGGAGGAGAAGGTCTTCAAAAAGCTGGGTCTTAGGGCCGAATGCCCAGGTGGTGGTCGCATAGAACACAATCCCGACAAGAAGTACCTGAAGGTCTACGGATACTCACAGGTGGGTTTATTTCTTTTGGGAAGAAAGCTTATTAAAAATTGTCAGCTTTGGCTTATTTTATTTTGGGTCCCAGATACATATATATATTTTTATATGTTATAGACAGATTGCTAACATGATCTTGTATTTTAGGGCTTTGGAAAAGCGGATCACGCTCAGTCCAAACGAATCCTGGCTACCAAATACCCGGATTACACAATAGAAATATCCGATGATGGATATTAGCTGGCATCATACGAAGGATACACCACCTTTATTCCCTGAAAAGTAAAACTAACTATTGGATACGATCCCATGAGCCATGATTTTTATGAAAATGGCATTTCCAATTTAAAGAACACTGAAAAACAGTTGTTCAGTAGCTTTGCAACTGCTCATACTAAACCTTTTCGGATCTAAATTATTAAAATTTTATACGTATTCCACTTCTTTACCCTTTGGAAAATAAAATGAAATTGCTTAAGTCATTGAGTTTGCTTCCACGATGTGTTTCCCCGTTGCGTAAGCTATAATTGCGTACTCAAAATCGAATATTAACTAGTTTATATTCTTCAAAATAGAAAAATGTTATTCGACCGATCTTATCAATTTGGTGGGAGTTCCTAGGGTTAAGATAACGAAAGGTGAGAATCGTTATTTGTTAGTGATGATCCATACCCACGGATATACGAATTTTGGAAGGGTTATCGTCCGTGGAGCTAATGTCGACAATCATTGTAAGTTTTGGTTATAGGTGATTTTATTATGCATTTTTTACGTAACCTATTTTTAGTGGAAGTTTATGATGCAATCTTGGCGGAGTTGGAACCAGAGGGAATATGTGCAAAATTCCTTGGCGGAGGAAGGATTCTCAATGAGGAAAACAAGCAGAAAATCAAGATTTATGGAACCTCTAGAGTAAGTAGAATATAATGAGTTTTTAGAGCAGCTGACTAAAATATTTGTATCCTCAGACATTTGGTACTGCTGATCACAAAAGGACGAGAAACATATTGCAATCGTGGACCGCATACAAGGATTTTCGGATCTCCGTTAAGGGATAACGTTGCACCTTTTTTTGGAAATCTCTCTCTTTAACATTAAATTAATTTAACAAATCGGAAAATTTTCATTGTTCTTATTTAACAATCATACTGACTCCTTCCTAATAAACGGTTTAAAAATAACTTAAAAAGATAGAAAGAAAATATTATTAGTGGATATTAAAAAGTAATTTTGGTCTATACAGCTCTGATTTGATAAATTCTTGTAAGCTTGCAAGAATTGCAGTTTTTGATTTATCAAAAGTGCTCCGGTTTATATGTCAATTCCGAATATAGCATTCGGCTTGAAGGCTTTGGATAATATCAGTCTAGGTAGATCCGTGCTACTGTTCGGTCAAACATTTTCGGAATTTAACATCTAAATTTCTGGCACTGGTTTTCTTCCTAAAATTTTCTTTAAAAAATTTTCCAAAATGAAACATTTAAACCTTTTGGCTCCCATTTCGCAACTAGTGAAGCCCATTCGCAGACAAAGTATTTCGCGAGTTAATGCCCTGTTGATAAATGTTCCAAGAGTTCGGATTGCGAAAGGAAAAAACAAATACCTATTGATGGTAATCCACATGCACGGTTTAACAAGGTTTGGTAGAACCATTGTTCGGGGATCGGACTCAATGGACCACGGTTGGTTTGGCTTTTCTCTTGCAGGTTACCATTTTCTTAACTATCCTGTTTGCAGAGGAAATATTCGAAGAAACTAAAGAGGAAATGGACGAAATTGGCGTATGTACGAAGTGCCTGGGTGGAGGGTTCATCAAAAACAAAGAGGATAAAAATCTAATCAAGATCTATGGGTGTTGCAAGGTGAGAGGGTTTGGATTTCTTTAAATAGCGCTGATAATGATCGAGGCTGCCCACAGACCTTTGGAGAAGCTCCCCACGGCAGGACGAAGGACATATTGCTGTCATGGACCAAATACCAACACTTTAATATTATCTTGCCCAAAAAGAATTTGAATGCGTATCAAGAATAAATAATAAACATTAAAGAAAATAAAGCTTGATTTTTATTTATTTTATTTTAGTTTTTAATGACAGAGTTTTAGAATTAACTGAATTCTCTAGTTCTGAAACATTTGAAACAAAAAGCCAAACCAATTCAAAATCCTCTGTCAAAAGAAACGGAACTAGTTCCATAATTTCGATAACCGATTACCGCAGCAGTGCAGCCCTCGTTTCCGCTCGATCGCACGGTCACACTGGCCCGAGATATTTTGTAAATAAATTTCAGGCTAGAGTCGTCGAAAATGAATTGTTGCATTTGCCAGTTTTCTGTGCGCGTGCCCAAGAATATACACACGGAGACCGTTGGCCATCCGCCGGTGCTGATCAGCGATCTCGTCCTGCAATGCACGCGGGGCACGGACTACGTCCTCGCCGAGGAATCCTCGACGATCTGCAAGAAGTGCTGCGAGAAGCTAACCAGATACCACAAGTCCATTCAGATCGCACGGAAACTGCGCCAGGAGATCCTGGAACTCATCCACAGTCCCTACATGCCCAAGGAATTCAGGCAGTCGCCGCTGAAGGACGAGGAAGTCGTAAGGGAGAGAATAGCCAAGTTTGATGGCAATATTGAAGTGGCAGAAGACCAAGAGGATGAGGAGCAACTAGAAGATATGGACAACTCCACGGAGGCCGTCACGCTGGTGGATACATCTGCCATCGAGGTGGAGGTGCCCGAGGAGGAGCACACCTTCATCATAAAACAATCCGAGGAGGATGACGAGTACCAATCCGTGGACCTAGAGCTGGATATCGACAACGAGATCATCATTAACGAGGAAGAGGCCAACGAAGAGGACGAGGAGGAGGAGGATGTAGTGACACGTGCCAAGCATGAGCCGCAGGAAGCCGACTTCTTCAAGGAGGACACCATAAGCGACTTTGACGACCATCTAGATGGCACCATAGAATACATTATATCCGATGGCGAGGACCAGGAGCACGATCAGGACAGCTCCGGCGACTACACGGTCAACATTCAGTGCCCCAGCTGCCCGGAGAAGTTCACCAGCCGGCGCGCCTACAATGCCCACACAAAACGCGAGCACTTTCCGGGCTATGTTTGTGATCAGTGCGGCAAGACGCTGCAGTCGTATTCCGGGTTCATAGGCCACCTCCAGAACCATGAGCCTGTTAAGCAGTTCGCCTGCCCCGTCTGCCCGGAGCGGTTTAGCCGCAAGTTCCGGCTGAAGCACCACATGGCCTGGCACACCGGCGAAACGCCCTATCAGTGTGAGGTCTGCTCCAAGCGATTCGTCCACAAGGTGGCCCTGTACAAGCATAAGATGATCCATGACAACGAGACCAAGCGGCTGGAGTGCCAGGTGTGCGGCTTCAAGACCCGCACCAAGGCGCACCTGGAGCGGCACATGCGCTCCCACACGGGCGACAAGCCCTTCGCCTGTCCGGTGTGCAACAAGCGCTTCTCCCAGATGTACAACATGAAGGCCCATCTGCGGGAGCACGAGAGTCCCGGCACGAATCGCCATCGCCGCTTCCACTGCCCCAAGTGCACGCACACGTTCATCAACGAGCAGAACTACGAGTCCCACGTTCAGAGGGACGACTGCACGGCAATTTAGCCCAATATCGAATAGATATATAGTAGATAATTTCATAAGAATTAATCCCGACCAGACCGCAGCAGAGTAATCCCCATCTTCATCGTGATCACCACCCAGCTAAATGAAATCGAATCATTTGGCACTCATCATTACGTTCTATCCATGTACTTTTTTTATTAAATCTATATGCATTTTGCTCACAAATAAAATATGTTTGATATAATAAATTTATCCGTTATTTGCATATTTCTGCGGTTATTTCAGTTTTCTTAAAAAAATATGTATAGTATGTGTATGCGTTAACTTATTTAAATAAATCAATCGATCGGTGTTGTCCGTTACGGCCGATGGCCTCCAATATGATAGATATATATAGACATATACCTAACGTTGGTCACTGCTGGACTGATCGGACCAAAAAATGAAATGTGCCTAATGGTAGATCGGTAGATGCAATTGACGCAATTACAATACATTGTATAAATACATAAATGTTAAGTGTGTATGCTGTGTTATAGATTATACAAAAATAAAACAGATTATCTTTTGATTTTTGTCGAGTTGAATAGAACTTTGTTAATATCATCATATCATCATAAAATGCACATTACAAAAATATTAACAAAATTTATTGCAGGCAGTCCGTAGTTAGTATAAAGTAACAAACAAATCCCAATCGAGGTAAACCCATAAATCTTCATAATAAATTGATTTTGTGCAGTTTTCTTAATAATCTCGGCCCCCAAAACTGCGGGACTAAAACGCTTTTCGGACTCCTAATGTACGGCCGCCAAGGTGTCAACATAAAGATGCGATGCTCTGGTAGCGCCCAAATTTCGTTAGGGATATACAAAAATCAGTTTGTTGGTTGTTGTACAGAAAAATACATTGCCCCCGCAGAGAGTAGTTTGTTTGTTTGTGATGCTTACAAAAGCCGGTCGGTCGCACGTACAGCGTACATATAGCATTTGATTTATCGGAAATAGCTTCTCCAGTTTGCTAGCTCTAAGATGCGTACACTTGGTGCGTTCGTTATCGCTAATCGTACATTATACCGCGTGCATCAGTGTCGGTGCACCAAGTCACACTCACTATTTGCCTAAATACAAAATCTACGCTAAATGCTTAAATATTAATCGGATGGCTTGACAAGACCCATCGCTTTGTCTCCGAATAGGGGCAGTATGTCGGAGTCGTTAACAATCTCTTCCTGAATCACTGGACTGTCCGGGTCCTCGCAATGCGTCTTGAAGAAGAATCTGTAAGATGCAACAAGGTGTTAGTTAGTTAGATACAGGGGATTCTAATTCTAATTCTAATTCTAAAGCGTAAACACTACCTAAAGTGACCTCTTCTGGGCAGATAGTCCTTGAACTGACGCAGGGTTGGCTGAGTACCGGGTATTTTGATTCTGTACGGCACTGGCTCCTCGCAGAACGAGAACACCACGATCGTCTCCGGCGGCTTGGCCGGCAGAGGCGGTGGCGCCGCCGTGCTCTGCAACTGGAGCGGGTGCTGATGCTGGTGAGGCTGGTGAGGCAGGCTGATGCTGCCGCCACTGCTGCTGCTGCTAAAGGAGCCCAGGGGTGGTTGCGACAGGTGCTGCTGCATCGGCGGTTGGGCGTATCGACGAGAGCGCCGCGGCTCGTCTTCCAGTCTTCGTTTCGCCTCCTCCAGTTTCGAGGCCGTGCTAGAGCCAGATCGAGAGCTTTAAGTTAGCACAAGCAGAGTTTTCGGTGTGTGTTAATAAGGGGTTAGTTAGTTAGTAGATGCAACAGAAAACAAAAAAACCTACCTCGCATCTTTGTACTTGGTAACAGTGTCGGCCGAGAACATGCTTATGCCACTGTCTGTGTTCATGGAAGGCCATTTGTTAGTCAACTTCCTCGAGCAGGAACTGTGATCCGGCATGGACTTTGAGTGCTTCATGGAGTGCCCGCCTGCAAATTGATTTGGGTTTAGGACGTCCAATACCTTCCTAGGTGATCTCAGCCACTTACTTAGACTCATGGCGCCATCGCTGACCATTCCAGAGTCATGGGTGGCTGTGCGTCGGCGCGACGGAATGGGCGGGCAGGGCGACATCGTTCCCGGCGAGCGGTGCGGTGTCTGGTCCTTCCACACCCGCGACACATGCTGGTCCAGAATATCTTGGTCGTTGTCCTCGTCCAGTGCGAACTTTTCCCGTATCGCCTCGGCGAAGGCCCGGTCGCTGGCACTGGATCTCTCGTTGCTCAGCAGCGGAGCACCGGGATTTCTCTGCAATGGAAGTTTGAGCCATATTTAAGGGAAAGTTCTTCAGTCGCAACTTATACACTTATACTGATCTTACCTCGCGGGCTCTTTCCTCCAGGTCGCGCTTTCGCTTCACTTCCTCCAACTTGGGTATCAGCAGAGCCACCAGCTCGTCCTCTTTCAGCGGTCTGTGCTCGTTCGAATGTAGTCGTTGTGTGCGAGGTATCACCTGTTTTCGGGTACCATAATTATAGAAATAAATAAGTGGTATCAATGGGTATACATATATCCTTCGTCATATCTTCACTTACCTGAAAGGTGTTGGTCTCCTTGTTCGCCATCGCGCTCTGGCGAATCGCCTTGCTTTCCGTGGAGCTGTGTCTGCGTTGTATGTACGGGCGACCGTCCCTGAAACGAGGAACGATTAGTCAGTCGAGTGGTTTTTCGTAGCACGTATTTGTAGTTCCATGTCTGGAGGATCCATCTCTTGAGGGTCTCTAAGGGCGGACCACTTCCTTTGGCGCCGCTACTCACATGGAACAGCTGGAGATCGACATGGTGTCGGAGTCGGTGCGTCCGCCGGAGCTAACGCTGGCCCTCTCCGAATCTACCCGCGAATTCGGCACGTAGGAGGTGTTGGTAGTGCTTGGATTGTACACATAACCGTGGGCACTACTCGCATGCAGATCGGATTATGAACAGGACCAGGACCCGGACATATAGTTTCCATGCAATGGCGCCCAATGGTGTGTGATCGTGTTTATGTGAGTGGGGGTCAATCGTCAAGTTCCACAAACAAAAATGTTCAAACAAATAAGGAAAACGCAATGTATATAGTGTATTCATCGGGTCAGTGGTAGTGTAGCGGTAAACATATGGTGGTGTTTTGAGGTCCAATGAGTATTGTTGTGTTGGGGCATATATTCGGTATACATATATATATATATATTGTATGCAGGTGGGTTCGTGTTTTTGTTTTTGGCGTGCGTATGTACAACATATGTAAAAAATAAAAGAAACAAAGATAACAAATTAGGAGTTAATCACAGAAAATCATCATCACTAAAGAAAAACTTAAGGCAAACATAAGAGTGTGGTGGATCCAGTCTGGTGTACAAATTTCGAGGCTTTAGCATAATATAACCGCGAGTTCCAAACACTAAAGTTGCAGTCAGAATAATACTAGGCTGACTTTAACTTTGGTACTTAAAGGAAATGCTTACGTTTTTATATTTTAATCTACTTAGAAATTTACCTATTATAAAACAAAGCAAGTAATTTGTTTTTTTTAATTAATCTCAACAAAACATTTTTCAAGATATAATATAGTATTATTTTGACTGCAACTAATTAAAACTATATTCTAGCTTACATATATACCCCTAAGTTTGGTTATCTACCAAGGGTTACTGGCCACAAAAGAGAGCGTACATACCCGGGAGGTCGGATTTCCAGTCTTCTTTTCTGAGTTGCTATTAGTAGGTCCCGCGTCAGTCGGATCGGGTAGTCGGGCGCCCGCGCACTGGCGCCCATGGATCCGGAGCCGAGGGATCCGCCGCCCTCCTGCATCTGCACCTTCTCGAAGTCCTCGCAGAGCGACAGCACAGAGTCCTCGTGCAGCGTGGGCAGCGTGGAGCTGCGGGGCAGTGTGTCGGTGGCGCTGATGGAGCCGCTCGAGCTGGCCGACGTCGATGGACCGTACACACTGCCGCTGGCACTGCACGTGCCGGCTGGCGGCCCGCTCACGCTGCTCACCGGCAGGTTGATGAAGGCACCCGGCGGCACCAGCTGCTGCAGGTGCTGCTGGTGCTGCTTGGCGGTGGACACTGTGGTCGGGGGCAGGGCACAGGCGCCAACGAGACTGCTGCCACCACTGCCACTGCTCCCGGCACTGCCCGATCCCGTGGCGCCGGTGCTACTGCAGCGCTCCTGCTGGGCGGACATCTGCTGGATGTACAGGATGTACATCTCGGAGCAGAGAAACGTGGGGTAGATGTTGTCGCGGATGGTGACCTCCACATGGCGCTGCATGGGATCAAAGATGTGCGGGCTGAGCGGGATCTCGGGGTTCGTCTTGATGGCCTTGATCTGGGCGCGCAGATCATCGGAGATGGACAACTGACTCTTGCGCAGGAATCTAGCCAAGTGGCGCGATAAGTTAGCCCATTTGCAAGACAACTTCTCAAAGACTTTAAGACCCACCTGTAGATGGCCCCGATTAACTGCTTGATCTTCTCCGGATCCGTCTGCTGCTTGAGGCCCTCGCAGGCAAAGTAGAAGTTGAGGTGGTCGTTGTAGGCGGGCGCCTCCTCCTCGACGTACTTCTTGAAGAGCTCGACCCCATCGCGGTCCTCCAGCAGGTGGTTCAGGGTCCGGGCCCAGTTCAGGTAGGATGGCGGTGAATTCTTCGAGGTCTCTGCTACCCCTTCGGTCATCTAAGCGATCGAATGTCGGTTAATTTTAAGCAACATCCTTATTATCAAGGAGATTAACCCACCTTTTTAACACGGCTCTCTTCTCCGGGTACAGGTGGTCGTGGCCCACTACACTCATTATCATCATGTTTCCGGAGTCCCGATGGATGGCCACTCATGCCACTCTAAATTGGCTTCCCAGGACGAGCGATCGCTGCTAAATATTTACCTATTCCTACGCTAAAGTTACCAGTTATGATTAACGAACGTGTTCTCTGTTTTAAATCACAAACGCCCGTATTTTACAAATAGCTGGGACATGGAAGATGCGCTCGTTTGCGAATTTGGAAGGCAATTAGACAAGGCCTGCAATGAAAATAAGACAAAGGGGTTTTTTTAGGATTAACTCTTTAAATAAATGAACAAATGCTTATGACATCAATACAAACTTTGGAATAAATCTATTTAAAAAAGACGACATACTTTACACTATTTTAAGTTAAAAGTTATCACTGCCACTACCTGAAATTT